GGGGCCAGACGCAGCCTTATAAGGTGGCCTAACATTTTCTCATGGCCCAGGCCACCCTCCAAAAATATCCAGAGACAGAAGAAGACTGGGAACTGACCTCCCTGAACGTTTCAGATTAACAAGCAGGCTGTGCATTAAACAGGAGCCCTAACACCTGCTTTATGACCGGTTCCAAAAGCCCTGGGCATTTCAAAACCAAGCAGCCTGCAGGGTCCGTGCTGGGGAGGGCTCTGCAGCGGGAAGAGGATAGATGGAGCCTCGAAGCACGCACCCAAGCTGGTTTTTTTGCTCTAAAAAGTGTTATTTCTTGCACCCTTCCAGAAAATGCTTTCAGATCTGACTGCCTTTACTTTATATGGACAATAGAGGTCCGTGACTAATTTTCATTAGTGCGCCTTTCTGCCCCTTCGGCGTCCTTGGGCTGAAGCCGTGTTCCAAACTCCTGACTCCCAAGGGCCCAATCGCTTGTGAGGTGCTGCTCCCTAGCGGGGCAGCCTGGCTACAACAAGAGAGAGGCGGAAATGGCGTTTGGACTTCAACCAAGCGCAGCATCTGGAAAGGCATCTGGACTGCATTCGCGAAGATGATAGAAGTGAAAGCGCTGCCGTGGTGGTCAGAAGTCTATGCTCTGGAATTAGCGAGCAGAAAATGTGATTTCTAAACATAAAGATTTATGAAATGAATACTAGGTGTTGACATACACAGCCTTTCACACATTTTATTGTTGCTCATCAAATGAGACACTTTTGCTCATCAAATGAGACGCTTTTAGGGTGAACTACCTTTTGTGGGAAAAAAGAATATTTTTGGTGATGAGATCTGCCTCTATACCAACTAAGGGGTATCTCTCTAAATCTGAAAAGAAAAAGATTAGTCTCTCACATGTTTAAAAGATAGTATTGGTCTAAAGACCACACAGCTCTCCCTTCTAACTCTGGTTCTCAGTTGCAGGCAGGGGAATGGTAATAGGTATGGCTATTTTGGTAATAGCTGCTTATAGCAGGTTCTTCACCACTAAAATGTATGACAGTGAGCCAGTCTATTTGTATGGCTGGGATTTTTTTTTTTTTTTAATAATATGAGGAATTGCAAAGCTAGTCTTCATTCTTGTTAAAGGGAACAGGACAACATAGCAGTATTTCTGGAACGCTGTGTGTAACAGTAGGTCTCTTAATTATACCAACGGTAATTCCTCAGGCTAGGGCTTATGTTAACATAGTACACATAACTGCCACAAAATATGACAGCGACAAATTCGAGAGCCCTGGTTTCCCATTACACCCTAAGCTTGTACAGGTTACATTTTCTGGGTAGCCTCTACTATTAACTTGACCATCTGTTCCTCAGTTTCAGTTGAAATAATTTTCTCTTTTCATAACTGAAAAGCCTGTCTCTGAAACAGATTAGACTCTATACGAGGAGAGAGGTGGTTTTAAGCACTGTGTTGGTAACACCCAAGGCGTGATCAGAAAGAAAACGCTCCCCTTTGGAACAAAGACCACACTCTTGGGCAACGGTGACGGTGAACTCTGAGAAGATGGGCCGACTCAGGCAGGGGGCATGTGACTGGTGGAGGCACATATGAGACCTCGTGTTGGAAAGTGCCCGGCACACGGAGACATCAGCGCTGGCATCTTGAGGTGAAGAAATGTGGGGTCTAGAACTAGCAGGTCAGAAACAGCCCAGCTGAGAGGACCCTGTCTTGTCTTTTCAGCGCTTCTCACCGTGAACTTGGGAGTGTGTGAAGCAGTTCCTAGGACTGTTCTGTATTTGGAGGCATTTTCAGGAGAAGGTACTTGACCGCATCCTGTCTTAATATAAGATGAACATTGTATTTCCCCTCTCAACTTACATTAGAAAAGTTAGATTAAAAAATCATTGTAAGACAAGGGTCCTCAATTTTTACCGGTTAATTTCTAAGATTTCCTGGTCATTTACACGAGGAGTCCCTCCTGTCCCTCTGTAGCCAGGATGGAGAAGGGCGTGGTAAGCTTGAAGCCGGACTGATAGGAATAATGACTTTTTGGAAACCTCTTAATAGAATCTGTCTATTTTTACTGTAAGTGCAGAAGCATCATGAATAGCAGAAACAGATTTTTAAACTGTCAGAGAGCTGGAATCCAAACTGAAACTCTTCCGTATTCCTAAAACACTACATTCAGGCCAATTTAATGTGAGAAATCATCACACTCACTGCTCACTATTTCAAATCCAGGCAGAGCACACACCAGTTTATTTTGAAATGCAACACAGATCAATATTTTATGAATACAACTTCTTACCACATTAACAATATCAGGTAAAAACAGCTTCCAAATGCATGCATAGAAAGTTAAGCATAGTCTTTGAACTCCTTATTTCTAAATATACAAAAAATACATTTAAATTATATAATTTTAGTGAATCAAAGACTTATAAAATTACAATTTTGGTTTTCACAACATAGAAAAAATACAAAAATGACTATATATACGGTTGTCTAATTTTTTACCCAAATTTCAAAGGAGCAGTATGTACTGATTCTGATGTTTTATAATGTTTTATCTGAAACTCAGAATTGAAAATAATTTGCAGGTTGTACCACATCAATGCCAACCTTTTATTATAAATGAATAACTAAAAAAACAAGTGGAAGCGAGGGCACAATCTCCTCACACGCCTCTTTAACTCCACATCCTCTACACCCTTCCTGTCAGAAGTGTGCTCCTGAGGACCGAACTTGTTTTGGGGTGGGGAGGAGAGTGCTTTTTCCATCACTAAATCTCCAGGGTGCCCGTGATAATGGTCAGGACAAGTTTAATGAATGATCCCAACCTTAGCAAACAGAACACAGCAACATGCCGGTTAGCACCTTGTGTCTACAAAGCACTGTTACGTACCTCAAAGAATTCTCTGCTAAAAGGTGGTCCCCGGAGGGGGGATCTGAAACACCCAGTCAAGTGGGCAGCCAGGCAGATGATGCCTTTGAATAGGCCCTTAAATGAAAACGAGAAGTCTGACAAAATACCCACCCAACACCACCCTCTTCATTCACACTTTATAAGACGATGTGGCATTTGGTGGGGTTAGATGTTCTCAGTTAATAAAAGAACACCACCACTTCAAAGGAGAACTTAATTCATGTTAGAGATAAAGAAACCGGTTCCTGAGAGGTGACTGAAGGACATGGTGGCATTCCTCACTTATCTGCCAGGAGCATTTTAAATGTTGATGGACAAAAATACACACTGGGGTTGAGACCTTTTTTGAGAAGGGAGTTGTTTGCTGTGTTCTTGTTGCCAAAGTTCAATTTGATGCAATATCACTGTTTGCGACAGACTGTTTTCCACAAATAGTGACAGATTATAACAGTGAGGCCTGAATAAAACCCCCAATCCAGCAATCCTGGAAAACCTACATTTTCCATCCCATGTTCTATAACTATTCCAAAAACAACTGAAAAAAATCTTACCCCAACTAAGTAATAAGACTAATATAACCCAAATTGATTTTATTTTATAGTAGAAATACATTTTGGAAGAAGAAAAAGCATGAAAAATAATCTTTCCCACATATTTTGTTCATGAAGTACAAGAATAGATTCTAATCTCAACACACCTAAGAGTGATTTTAAGAAGCAGAATTTTAATGTTCAATTCAAAAATAATTTATTACACATTTGCCTGCATTAAATTTTACGCTGCATACTTTCTTCTCATTTTCATCTTAATTTTCCAGCTTCTATGAAACTACGCACTTAAAAATTATCTTCCATTATGATACTCTTCTGATATTAGCAATGATATTTTAAATGAAAACTAGTAAGCTAGTAAACTAGACTTGTAAAATTTTAAAGAGCAATCAATTAAGAAAAAAAAAGGCACCACCGAGAACATTCTGTGTTTAAAATCTAATGCACATCTACACCTGGGCTTTACATTTTCATCCAACCCTTTCCTGAAGAGTCTTAAATGTACAGTTGAGCAATTAAATGGTATGAAGACATACTGTTAATTACAGTGTCCATCTGACTAAATTATTTCTTGGCTGCTCCAACATGCGGGGAGGACACTGCCTTTGGTTCATGACCGCCCAACTGGAACTCTTCACTGCCTCTGGACTCACAACTCGGTGGGATTACACAGGACCATAATTAGGAGAAGGAGCCTGAATGAAGAGCTGAATGAAAATTTAAAAATCAAATAATAAGGGTGTATAAACCTATTCCTGAATGTTCTTCCGGACTACATTCCTAAAGTAACACTTTTCATGTGCTTGCAAAAACAGATTCTCTACTTCCATGTGCCTGGACTGCCTTCAGGACCATAAATGAGAATAGCTGTTGGCAAATACATCCTTCACAGGTGTTCTGAGAATGGGGCTGTGAAAGGTACTTGTCATTTACATTCTGAGGGCTGTCATTCTGTTAAAATATGATAGAGGCTGAGCCCCAGATAAGGTAAGATCTCTACAACGTACACAAACTTATTAAATTCAAGCACTGTTTCTTAGTGGCAGGCAGTGAGGACTCAACTGAAAACAAACAAAAGGTTTTAGTTGTTTTCTGATTAAGGTTCTACCCCAAAGCGTCACAGACATATACATTGTATAATTCACTTGCTAGATAGGAGGGGACAGGTCCCAGCCATAACTTCAGAGCATTCCAAAGTTTGCCGCTTCAAAAATACAGAGAGTTTCCAGCATGCAGTCAAGCACTTTGAAAAGGGAATGCTAATTAAACACACTGCAGACTGAAATATAACTCTACCACGAGCTGGGCATTCAACTGGTCCAACTTCATTACTTAGACTGTAACTCTCAAGTATTTAGTGTTACAGCTCTTTATTTATCAGATACATGAAGGAAACAGGAGGATATAAAATGCCAAATCCTTTTCTAGCGCCATCATAAATATTGGGAACTTCTGGTTGAAAGAGCATGCTGAAATGGACCAGCCAGGATGTTTCATGTAACAGCTTTTTTTTTTTTTTAAATAAAATCCTAGGCCCACATGATACTGAATTTTGGTTTTTGTTTTATTTTTTAAATATTTTAAAAATAGTTCTTACTTATTTTCTATGAAATGTATTAGGAACTCAAAAAGTCTGCAGCATTTTTTGTCATTGAAAAGTTTGTTTTTTGGGGGCAGTGCAGGAAGCAGGAACTATTCAAATTTCTTGTGTTCTTCAGTATGAGAAAGGACCTTTCTTCTCTGGTGTATCATGTGGAAGTATAACTGAGGAAAAACTGGAAAGAAAAGAAAGAACTGGTTAAGGAGATCATTTACAATTGCATGTTCTATTTAAAGCACATGGATTAGGTCCTCTCGGACTCGCTGACTCTCCTTTCCCATTCAGCAACCAAGCAAGGTACCAAGGTGGGCTTGGGGAAGGGAGGGAAAACGCAGAGACTTACCTTTTCCTGCTTTAGCGGAGGGGGAAAGGGTGGTTTGGACTGGAATGACAGACACTATTGTCACTATCCTTATCAGTCAAGATGCCACACAGCCACCAAAGAACGCTCTTTACACTCTCCTATTATCTTCACATTTATTCTCTGATTTCACAACAACTAGGTGAAGAATTCTAGTGATGGAGTTACTATTCCTGTTTACAGAGAAGGAAGTCAGGCCCCAGAGAGCGTAGGCGACTTGCCTAGGGTTTCACAGCAAATCACTGGCAGGGTCAGGACCGGACTCTGGGCCTCTGACTCTTAGTCTAGCCCCCTCTGTCACTGCTCTGTCACCTGGGGGATCTCCCAAGCATACTTCCCGAGAAAGGCTGTTCTTGGAACAGGAAGACTGAGGAGGGAGGAGTACTATAACATTTGCTCTGACACAACGATGCCAGGTTTGGACGTAGGAAAGTCCTGGTGAAAAGTAAGCCATTAGCGGTTAAGTGCGCGCGCTCCGCTACTGGCGGCCCGGGTTCAGATCCCGGGCACGCACCGACGCACTGCTTCTCCGGCCATGCTGAGGCTGCGTCCCACATACAGCAACTATAAGGATGTGCAGCTATGACATACAACTATCTACTGGGGCTTTGGAGGAAAAATAAATAAATAAAATTATAAAAAAAACAAAAGTAAGCCAGCATCTTAGGCACCGGAGAGTCTGTCTGTGGTCATTTCACAGATTACTTGAAGAAGCACTGATTCTCAAAAGAACAGGGTGGCACTGCCTCCCTGGGGAGTATTTGGAAGTAGGGGAGAGGGATAGAGGGGAGGTTACTGGCATTTAGCAGTCAGGGCCAGGAATGCCAAAACGTGCGATGTGTGACAGTCCCCCACAACTAAGAATTGTCCCACCCCAAATACCTACAGTGTCCCTGCTGGGAGACGCCAGCTAAAGCTACCTGGCCTTCAGCAGGTTACTGTAAACTGGAGGTCCAACAACCATGTAAAACCCTACAGTAAGATCATCTGGGGTACAATATCCTTCCTTCCCTTCCCTTCCCAACAGCTCCAATCTCTGTTTGTTAGAGAGTAGCTTGTATTTTGGGGGAGGTAATTTCTACTACTGCCAACTCTCCCCTGACAGTTTCTTCCTTTTTAAATTGGTTCCAAGTTGGCCAAATCTCGAACGATCCTCCCAGAGTACTCCACAACATCAGTGGGTATGTGCACAGATCTGAGCTGCAGAGGAGGCTGCCGCTGCCCAGGGCTGCTGTCCACTCCACTCACCACCTGCAGGCAGGAAGTTCTTCACAGAAAAGACCCAGCGTATGCATATAATTCCAGAGGGAGAGAACTATTTTGGTATGAAAGCCTGAAAACTTGACAAGCTCTATAATCTAAAAACTGGAAGTAAAGATATAATTAAATCATAAGGAATGCTAACTGTAAGCATTTAAATATGTGGGGCCCATCACATTTCTATAGATATACTTTAGTAAAGGGAAACTTGATGGCAAAGTATGCCAAGCACATTTCCACTGGTTGCATTTGTGATTACACTACCCCACAGAGGGCAGCTGCAGCCTCACAGCTGGTTCAGAGGGTCTGTAGATGACGACCTAGAAGCCACTCATTAGGCCCTTAGTGGCAGTTAAAGCAAGATGGCGGGGTCTACTTTCATCCCTGTAGGCAAGGGCCTGCTGGCTACCAGAAGGGTCAGAGGTCAGAAATGGAGGGTAGCTATGGCCCTTTCATTTTTTTACATCTTCTAGAGGGTGCCCAAGAGAAAGGAATGTGTATGGGAGGCCAGAAGCATGGGGGTCCCGGGCTGCAGGTTCTCTACAGCTCTAGCAGTGACTTCTTGGTGACCAGGACTTGGGTGATACTGTCTCCATCTGAATTACCCACATGTTCAGACTGAACCCAACTATAATGGCTGAAACAATTCCAGATGCATGGCTACTATTTTTAAATACATTGGGCTACAATGAAGGAAAACCCTAAGAAAATCTCAACCTGACAACAGGCTCTTTAGAATTCTACCTTCTGTTCTCCCAGTCAGGACACACAGAATGGGGACAGAGCTGCTGTGCATGCAAGTGTGTCTGTCTCTGTCTGTTGGGATGGGGGGCTATGGGTGTCACTGGGCCCGCCTTTCTGTAAGAAGATGGGCTTGCTTCCTCCCTAGGAGAGGACTTGGAGGCTGAGAGCAACTGGAGATGCTCTGCTTGGGGCAAGTTTCTTCTCAGTTTCTCTAAAAACCAGAGGTGTGGTTATGGTTACTGACAACCTGGAGAGTGCCCAGAATCTCAGTGTCCTCACCCTACATCAGTGCTTCTCATTTCTCACCATTTTTTTTTTTTTACCCTCACTCCTACAACCAACTTTTGCCAATCTGGGAGGGGTATAAACAGGACTTAGACATCTACTGAGTCCTGCAGATACTGGACACACTGCAACTGCAGCAGAGCAGGGGAGGAGCACTTTGCAAGGGACTCCAAAGCACCCCAATACGAGAAAACCCCTGAGGCCACAGTTCATGGGCTACAATTTGGGCTACATATGTAACAACAGGTCAGGACCATAAAGAAAGGGTATCACTTTATATAACACAGATATCTCATCAACTTCCCATGAAAGAAGATTAAAATAAACAAGTTGTGGAAAGAAAACCAAATTTGGTAAAGAAGACTGCATATCAACAGCAACCTTTCCTAACTCTGCCTTTTCTTCTTATAAATACAAAGTTTTGGAAAGTTGGAAATGTGCAGTTGGCTGGAATGAACCATACAAACTGCTCTCAATATTAACAACCTAAACTACTGAAAACATCCAGGGCCACTGGCTCAGGCCAGAAGCACAGTGAGTGCCAGCAAACACAAATGATTTGTAGCAGGAGATCTGGTCTGGGCTGCCATCTTGAGCCTGGGGGAAGTCAGGGATTTGGAGGGAATCTTTTAATCTTTATTTGAAATCAACCCTTTTTCTTGGTCTATAAGAGTTAACCTGCCTTAAAAAAGAAATCATATAGACTTTAACCAAGCCAAGTTCTTACCAAAAGCAGGCTGAGAATGGAAGATGGGGGAAGGAATGAGGTAAAGAAAGCAGACTTCTGTGGAGAGGAGAGTCCTGCCCTTCTCTCTGCAAGACAGCTGGCCCTGAGGTCTGTGTTTTCTCTCTTTTCTCTCTCAGTCTTAAGGCCAAGAAGGAGAATCCCGCAGAACTGGGCTTGTTTTCCCAGGAATCCTATCCTCAGGGAGGGGTGCCCCTTAACTAGATCAAGAGGTCAGCAGCCAGAGGCAAAAGGCTGGGCACTGGTTGGCCACCAGAGCACAAAAAAGACTAGGAGGTACAGACAGACTCAGGTTGCTCTGGAGAGCTGTTTCTGGAATGAAACCTCTCCTTCAACAGACTGGAAATCTTGTAGTGACTCTGAGGTAGGGGCCCCAGATTCCTTTTTTTTTTTTGGTGAGGAAGATTAGCCCTGAGCTAACATCTGTCACCAATCTTCCTCTTCTTTTTGCTGAGGAAGAGTGGCCCTGGGCTAACATCCGTGTCCATCTTCCTCCATTTTATTTGGGACGCCACCACAACGTGGCTTGGTAAGCGCTGTGTCGGTGCGCGCCCAGGATCTGAACGCCAGGCTGCCACAGCAGAGCACGCACACTTAACTGCTACGCCACCAGGCCGGCCCCAAGGGCCCCAGATTTCTGTCAATGTGGCAGCATCTTGTTATTGATTTGATTTCATGATACTCTCCCTGCCCCCTTCCCGGTTATCAAACACGGCATCTATCTCCTATCCATTCAAAAACTTAGGTTGAATTTAAATAAACCCTGTGGTGCCCACCAGGATATTACGTATTACTCGGGGTGTGGCAATTTTGTGACCAGGAATTGTTGTTCTAGAAACTAGAAAATGAAACTCTAAGGGAACAAAATCAGAAACGTAAAAAACAAGAAGTTAATTTTTATTACTTAAATTTTTAGACTCTTTCATATTTATCTTTTGTTTGAAAATTAACTATCTTTTACATTTGAAAAGAGATGGTCTTTAGCCACCATGGTTCCAGGACCAAAGAGGAGGACTCGAGAATTCATAAAGAGTGGAAAATGAATCATGAAGCAGAACTGTGTCCAAGAATTTCTGCAAGATAAAAGTTCACATGAAATCTGGATGTATTTTTTTTCTCACAATGCGTGAAATGCAGTCTTCCACAGAGGGACACGCAAACATGTTGTTTTTGATTGTTAGGGTGATTCATTCAGTTCATGCTGTGGGCTGACAGAAAATCCAACCCTCCCATCTGAATTTACCCTGAGGTTTAGGGAAGAATATGGCATCTTAGAGACTAAAATAAGATTCAGTCACAATGGCTGCGGAAACAGCTAAATGAGAAGAAACATTAACTTTCTATGTCCTTGGGTAGAATAACATCCTTTTGGATATGCAGAAATCAATCATAGGATTTCAACTGAACATCAGAATTTGAGAAAAGCACTAAACGACTCTTCTTCAGCAAACAGTACTCACTTCACAGAAGCCTCAAAGATGGCTTTTTTCTCTGTTTCCAAGTTTGCTGATAGGCACATTTGATTATCCATATATTTAAACCTTTAGTTTAGCAGTACTGTTAAAATAACTGGAAACCATTCTGAAGAGAACACTATGTCCTATTCAGATGGTTTTACTTCTTATTTCCAAACAAGAAAATAAGAAATATAGAAAAAATAAAGAAAAAATAAATTAATCTATTTGTATGTTATTTGTTTCTGGTTAACTACTGATTCCTTAAAAATGAAGTAACTGTCTATTTCGATACAATAAAAATGCAAAAATCTCTTTACAATGTTTTTCAGATACTATATCAAGTAGTTCTTGAGAGAAAGAAAAAGTCAAGGTAAGGGCTGTAACGGCTGTTTTGTTTCCCAACCAGTACTTTCCCCCAGTAGATAGTTAACCTGTCCTGGCATTCGCTGTTTCAAACCCACACACTGAGAAGGGCTGCATTTCGGCAGCCGTATTGAGAAGGGTTCATCTTTATTCAATTACTACCAGAGAAAATTCCCTGTGACAGTCAGCATTCAATAAAAACCAGAGTGTTCCCAATAAATTAGATTTACATTTACTTGGATATGGTGTAAAACAACAAAAGGCACCGAACTCTAGTTATTGTGGAGCCGATTTTTAAAACATAAATAAATATATGTGTAACTGTTTACTTACTTGGAATGTAGGAGATCATGATGAGAATTAGGAATGCGTAATAGTCAAAGGAGAAGTTGTATTTGTTGGGTAAACTGATGGAGTACAGGCCAGTCTGTCTGACAAAGGGCAAGGCGGCATATATCGTGAGCAGTTCCCCTGACACTCCCATTGGATACAGCACGATGAAAAGCGTGTACCTAAAACAGAACAAAATATTCAACACTGAGGCTCAAAGCCAGCTTTAGTAGAAAGATGCACTTCTGCCCTTCTAATCAGTACTGGTCTTTTAGAAAGCTTTTGTTTATACATTTTCCTGTTTACTCACTGCTTAAATTCAGGTTTTACAAGCCAGTTTTTGAAGAGGGCCTATAGCAGGTATATTTCTGAATGTTCTAAAAGAAAATAAACATGTTTGATCAGCTTCAAAATTTGGCCGGACTAAATAAACAACTCTTCAAAACAGCTCCCTAAAAGAAATAAGGTGATGCTAAATATTGGTAAAGTAGGGGCACTGAGTCACGGTTTATATTGAAGGGTCCTGCCCTGTGGGGTGCGAGTGGGGTTGGGGATTTGCAGGGAGCTGGAGGGAAGGTGTTGGAGCATGTGTCTAGGAATCCTTACAATGTACGTACACCAAGCCTGGTCTGTGGACTGAAAAAAACAGCACATCTAATGTGTGTATGCTGTGCCAATTATTCAGATGTCTGTACGTGCTAATGTGAAAAATGAAATACATGCTAATTTAAAAAATATTAAAAAATTCACAATAGCTTTTGATCATCACGTAATTTTTCAAAACTACAATTACTATCACATGGGAAAATCCACACAATTTTTTTCACTTAGAAAGGAGTTCCCTATGTTTCAAAAAGAATTCAGAGAGAGGTTCATCCTATGGAACTAACTAGAAGTCATTCTTTCAGGTATAAGTATTGCTAAAGAAATCATCAGCTCAGATTTTAAAAAGCTTTTGGCGGGGTCGTCCAGGTGGCATAGTGGTTAATTTCATGCGCTCCGCTTTGGCAGCCTGGGGTTCGTGGGTTTGGATCCTGGCGCAGACCCACACACTGCTCATCAAGCCATGCTGTGGTGGCGTCCCACATACAAAATAGAGGAAGATGGGCACAGATGTTAGCTCAGGGACGATCTTTCTTAAGCAAAGAGAGGAAGACTGGCAGCAGATGTTAGCTCAGGGCCAATCCTCCTGACCTAAAAAAAGCTTTTGGCTATTTGTGGCTCACAGCAAGCCCTGGGCTCCAGATTTCCAGGCACAGGAATTGTGCTGAGAAATCTGTGACAATGAAAGGAAGACATGTTCCCCGTTGCCACTTCAGCCATGCTAAGGAGGATGGTGGAAAAGGAAGAATCTTCCATGGGCCACGGAAAACAGCAGACAAAAGAATCGTTCTCCACTAGTAAAATCAGGGCTTGGTCAATAACAGCTTTCACAATGCCTGCCAGGCTGGTTAGTACTGCTATGTTTTTCCCATTCTTCCCTTTTCTTAATAAAAATGTTCATTGTAAAAAAGGAAAGGAAGGAAGGAAGGAAGAAGGAGTTTACATACTTGAAATGTTGGAAACAATTGGTTTATGGCTCTAATTTAATCACTGAGCTCATAAATTGTCCAGGAACTACCGTTTTCCTTCTATGAAATGAGGCACTTGAGCCCCAAGGGCAATGTCGACCCTTTTGCTGTCACTCCTCCCCATAGTCTTTCCCAACTCAGAAAACTGTGCACAACTCTCTCATGGATTAGTTCAGACAAACAGATGAAATGTCAGCCTTTCACCCAATTCCTAATGAATATTACTGGTAAAAATAATCTAAGCAAAATAAAACTGATAACAGGCTAAAACTGCCATGTAACGTTTGTTATTAATTAAAAATTAATTTAAGAGTCATGACTTCTTGGCAAAATTGAGAATAAGAGAATTGGACTTGGGCCAAAAAACCATCACGGTGGCAGAAGCTCATCAGTAAAATCTGATATGGACAAAAAGGAGATGTTACATCAAATCTCTATCAAATAATTTAACTGAAAAGAACTGACCCGATAAAGATAACTTAAGTACAAAACTTTAAAACAATGTTTTTATTAATCAGAGTTAAGTAGAGTCCCTTATCCTACAGATAAAATCTACAGACTAGATTTGTACCCAACCTCTGTCTCGTACAATTTTATTTTTAGGAACTTGGAGGGAATATTTAGGTGATAAACGGCGAATGCAGTGATGGATCATTTCAAAAGTTAGTTATCATTCCATGTACTTCTTTACCTGGCCCATTTGATGAGGTAAGGCAGATGGTTTAATAGACTGAATGTATAAAAGGAGTAACGGATAATTTCTGTGATTGTCCAGGCAATAACGAACAGGAGGACACTGTCTTCACTCTGTACCTGAAGGAAAAACAAAAGTGAAAGCAAACACATAAAACATTTTAACACAGAAGCACTCACAACGTGCAGCCAGCCCCCTGACCCCTTGCAGAGCTAGGAGGCTGAAGTAAGTGGACACAACCCCTGGTCTCTATCCCCAGTGGTCACAGCACAGCTCAGAGCGAGCTTGCAAACATAAAGGAACCTGTGCCTATGACAACAATTGTGTACAGCCAAGTGGTAAGGGGCAAGTAAGAAGGAATCAGCTTACTGATGAGTAAGAGAGGCAGGGACAGGGAATTCTGTGAGCTGTAGCCCACAGGAAGAGACAAACCCGGTGAGTGAGTTTCTCATGTTGGTTTGCCAGCCTGCTTGCAGAGACTGTGAAGTGATGTTTGAGGGAGCCAAGAGTAGCTGGATAGGAAGGACAGAAGGGCAAAATGGTGGAAAGCTTGGATCCATTAGCAAGAATTTTAATTTGATTTGCATGACAACTAGGAACATGAGGAAATTTCAAAGAAGGGGAATGTAATGATTAAAACACAACTGAAGATGAGGCTAATTCAGCGGGTAGGAGGAATTCAAGTGAGGGAAGAGCTGGAGACCACTATGAGGAGGGCCCATTTATTCTCTCACTGGTGACTTCTTCCCCTGGACTGGGTTAACTCAAGGATTACAGAGGCTCCCATGCTGATCACAGGAGGTGGCTAAAACCAGAAGAGCTTTGGAATTCCCAGCCTCCTCTGAAGTTGTTTTCACGCTGAAAAAACAATAAACTTGTAAAAGAGCCCCTTAGGTGTTTTTTTAGGGGATGTTTTCACTAGATGCCTTAGACTACAAATCGTGCATGAAAATCTATTACTGTGATATTAACTACCAATGCTTCCCCCACCCCACCCCAGCTAGGTTTATAATGATCCTTGGTGCCTGAAAACTAATAATAAGAAACAACGGTGCACCCCAATTCACTTAGGTTTTCTTGCATCCAAAAGGGCAGTTCAAGTCAGATGTGAATAAGAAATTCCACGGAGGGAACCAATTTCGATTACAAGATGGATCTTCTCTGTCTTGTTCTTAACACCTAATACAACATGGGTATGCATTCTAACCTTAACTTCTGCTTCTTTGCATTTGCAGTGTTAAGAGTTTTTAGCACTTATATGCTTCCTCAGAAAGTGTACATGGAGCGATCCACCTACACAACGAACTAAGTAGTCATTTACATACCTATTAACGAAATTGCTCTGACAAGGAATTTCATAAACGCATGGTTACCATTCTCTAAAAATAATAAGAATTTGATACTGTCAAGAATAAGAGGACTTTTTGTTTTCCTGGTGCTCTTGGATTAGCCCAAGTAAAAGAAAAGCTAGACACCTCCGAAGCTTTCAGGTTTCATTTTTCAGTCTGTCCCCAAATCCTTGCTTAAAACCCATCTAGACTAAAATATCATTTCAGAGCGCACTTTGCTTTTTGATGTACTTTGTAATCCTCCTCATCTTAAGGAGATATGTTTTTACAGCCATGGGCTGAAGCCTTGCTTAAAGATTTCTGGGTTACAATAGGAAGTGTGTCTAATATTTTGCATTGTAATTGTCTTGAAAGCAGGGAATGGGTTTTTTTCATCTTTTGATTCCCAAAAGCACTTTGTGTTTTTCACAAGTAGGAGCTCAATAAATATTTGTGGAGTAAATGAATTCAGTCCTAATCAGGCCACTCCAAAACTACGTTCCCTGCTTCTTGATACCTGATACTAGTTTCTGTGTAGTCTTAGTGGCCTTCAAAAAGACAAACAAAACCCCCCAAACCTTCCACTTTGATCCAGCCTAGAGGTTAATTGACTCACATGCCCCGCCCCCCGCCCCCCAAGTTAGACTTGAACCAACAGAACTAGAATAAACTCAGACTCAGGCTGAATGTGAAAGCAGTCTGCTCTGAGTCCAGCTGCGAAGACCATGTCACAACTTTAAAAAGCCTGAGGATGCGGGAAATGACTATTTTGTACAAATGATATCTTTAGATCAATAGAAAGTGCAACATTGTTATTAAGAAGGGATTTGAGTAAAGTCAGAGATCAAGCTTATCTGATTTACAGATAATTATCCAATGACACAAAATGTGCAGAATGAAATGAGTTAAAACTAGTAAGACTGATGAGACTCAGATATTTGTACACTCATATTCATAGCAGCATTATTCACAATAGCCAAAAGGTAGAAACAACCCAAACGTCCACCAACAGTTCAATCAACAGACAAAACGTGGTACATACCTAACAATGGGATATTATTCAGCCTTAAAAAGGAAGGGAATTCTGACACATGCTTTGACATGGATGAACCTCAAACACAACTTGCTAAGTGAAATAAGCCATTCACAAAAGGACAAATACTGTATAATTCCACTCATGTGGTACCCAGAGCAGTCAAATTCCAAGAGACAGAAAGTGGAAACAGAAGGTTGCCAGGGGCTGGGGGTGAGAGGAGATAGGGAATAATTGTTTAATAGGTATAGAGTTTCAGTTTGGGAAGATGAAAAATGTTTTGGAGATAGATGGTGGTGATGGTTGCACAACAATGGGAACATACTGAATGCAATGGCACCATACACTTAAAAATGGTTAAAACGGTTAAGTCTTGTTATGTATATTTTATCACAAGAAAAAAAAAAAACCACTAAGATAAAATTTAACAAGGCTAAATGTAAAGTTATATATGATTCAGCAACAACAAAATGACTCCACTACAGAATGGAGAAGACCCAGCTTATAAATCCAAGAGATGTGGGATTTTTGGTGAACCACAAGCTTCGTATGAGCCAACAGGGTGCAGGTAGCTGTTCATATCAACCAACCAACCAACCAACCAGCCAGTGAACCAGCTAACCAGCCAACCAACCAAACAATATTTGGCCACCTTAATCGTTTCACCCCGATTACTTCATTCTAAATAGATTAGACCCCACCTAGGGATCACAGTCAGTTGTAAGAAGCCCTGAACTAGCAGAAATTACCTTGGAAAAGGAAAGAAGGTTAATTACTTCAAAATATGTACAAGGGTAACGTGCAAGAGGCATGTGGACATGAGATTAACGGAAAAAATTAACAGGGAGTAAAATTCCTGGTTCAAAATAAGAAAAATTGTGTAACAAACCAGTTGACTAATAAACTAGGCCACCTCATGAAGCTGTGTGGTCCCAGGCCCTGGATATACCCAAACCGAGACTGCTCAGGAGAAAGTCCTGCAAAGGGTGGGAAGCTGACCTGGATGGTAGCCAACGAGGGCTTCCAGCTGCTGTTCTTTGGAAAGGGATATGTATATAACCTGTGTATGGCCCCTGGCTAATACTAACTTCCTTGCATGAGCTTAAATTTTTTTAGTCAGAAAAAAAAAAGGGGTAGGGACTTTAATGATATTCTTAAGAATAATTTTCCTTTATCAAATAAGGCAGAAAAGAGAATAACTTAAAAGACGGAAATTCCTTTCATTACTGATTGCTGAGCCTATAGGATGGGAATAGTTCCCTGGCCCTCACTCCCCTGACAGTAAGGTCTTCAGGGGTCCAGGTCTCATCTGAATTGGCTTCCTCAGCGGCTGACACAGGTCTGGACACGAGGAATGTGCAGCATCAATGCCCCTTAACTTGAATGATATCTTGTATTTTCTTTTTGTTTTCTGAAAGCAGGAGTTGGGAACATTTTTCTAACAAGTGGGGAAGCTCTTTTCTATCGAGGGCCAGTGACTCAGAGAACAAGAATCAACCGAGAGCCTTATGGAAGTGAAAACAAAGCCAGTTTAGTTTTGGAGGGGTTTTTTGAGGGGCAAAGGACTAGGGTTATAAAAAGTTCAACTCAGCTGCTCTTTGAACTAAGAACTGGAAACATAATTTTATTAATTATCAAGAATAACAGGTTTAATATCTCTGCACAAAGATTTGCACGCAAATATTCACAGCGCGTTACTCATTAGTTGCAAAGTAAAAACAACCCAAGTGTCCAGCAACTGGGGAATGGATAAACAAAATGTGATGTACATCCACACAATGGAATACTAGTCAGCAACACAAAGGAAAGAAATACTGATACATGCTACAACGTAGACGAACTTCAAAAACACCACGCTGAGTGAAAGAAGCCAAATGCCAATGGCCACCCATTATATGGCTTCATTTATGTGAAACACCCAGAAAAGGCAAATCTAGAGGCAGGAAGTAGATTAATGTTGCCAGGGGCTGGGAGTGGGAATGGGAATTCACTTTTAAAGCGCATGAGGGGTCACAGTGTGGCGGTGGAAATGTTCTAAAACTGGATTATGGCGATGGTTGCAGAACTTGCTAAATTTACTAAAAAGCATTGAATTGTACACTTAAAATGGGTGAATTTTATGGTATACAAATTGTACTTCTATAAAATTATTTTAAAAAAAGAATATGAGGTTTACTTTAAATGCATATTATTGTCTTTTAAGGGAAAAGGGGGGCATTTAGGGCAAAGGGCATTTATTAAGGTTTACAAAAGAAAAGAGGGGGAGACAAAGGGTTGGTTGCCAAAAATATCTTGAAGCCATATTTCAAAGGTGCATATTCACAATCGTGGCACAAAGAGGGGAGTGGGCGTGGGTCAGTCCTGCCCGCCAGGAAATCTTCTGCCTGGTACAGTGAGCTGCATGTTGGACCCTCCCCGCTGTAGAGGACAGTTTTCCACCCCTAGCTCTACAGTGAGGGAGGCGGCGCTGGGTGTGGGTGGCTTGTGTAATGTAGCCAAGGGAATTTACACAGAAATCCAAGCTGCAGAAACAAATGGGTGCAAGAGAAAAACCCTTCCACACAGATAGTATCATATGTTTGACTTTAAAAGGCTCAGGGAGTATCAGTACATGAAAAGCTGTCATTTTTATTACATTCAAAGAAAAACAGATGGTGCCACATAAGAAAATCACTATTGTAGAAACTCTTTTCTTGTTAGCATTTTGGAACCTGCTGCTTACCACTCTGGTTATTTCAAAAAATATCCCCTGATCATG